GTAGATCTATACTGGATATAAGGAAGAGATTTCTTACAGTCAGGGTGGTGACACACTGGAACTAGTTGCCCAGAGAGGTGGTGGAGGCTCCATCCCTGGAGGTATTCACGCTCAGTGTTGATGGGGCCCTGAGCAAATGGATCTAGTTAAAGATGTACCTGCTCACTGCAGGGGGTTTGGACCAGATGACCTTTGAAGGCCCCTTCCAACCTAATGCATTCTATGGTTCTATGTTTCTGCTCGTTCACCTTTCAGTTTCACATGTGTAACTCCATTGACTTTTATGGTATTACACATATGAAACTTAGAACTTTAACTCATTTGAGTAAAGTTGTTTGCATATTCTCCATAATTTATTGTGAAAGTAAATTTCCATTCTCATACATTTCTGCTTTCACTGAAGAGCTGCTGAATTATTCCTTCAAGCCTGTTTGGAAAATAAAATTAGTGGGGAAACACAGAAAATTATTTGGGGGATGTAAGGTGTAGATTGAATAACTTCCTGTATGCATGCTCCAGTGATGCTTGCTCTGTTTATAATTTCCTGGGTAGCATCTGAGACTCACTGAAACTGCCCATTTGACATTTAGCATCTTAAGATGCATCTGTTTGTCTGAAAGACTGTGGTAGGAACAGTGTAAGAATAGTGGCCAAGACTGTTGTTTCAGTTACTCTGTCTGCTGAAAGAGTCGTCTTTCATTTAGAAGCATGCTTCTCCTGCAGCCTGAATTCATCTGGATCTTATGACCACCACTTCAAATAGTGGTGGTTGTCTTCTTCCCACCCGTCTGCCCAGTGTTTGGGGTGGGAGATGTGTACAGGTATTAGTAGCAAGGGAAAAAAAAAACCACGTAATTTTCACTTTGAACTCCTCAACAACGACCCAGCAATGTTGTCTGAAATTGAATTGTTAGAAATTAAATCAGTATAGACAATTTTAATAGGTTTTACTGTTAAATCTGAGAGCTTTTATAGAGCTATTTAATTTTTAATGCCTCCCAATAAGTTTCTATGGTAGTTTCTCTGTTGTTGGTTTTAGTTTGTTTCCTCAGGCAGACTTTTCTTCAAATATGCTGTGGAATAAAAAAATAACCCAGAAATGTGCATGAAATAAAATCTTCATGCTATTTTAGAAAGAGAATGTCGCATTACACTTAGAGCTGGATTTAGTGTGGTCACTCGTGTGTGCTCCGTGACTATCCTTTTTCCGACAGTCATAAAGAATACAGAAAAGACTGAAAACTGCATAAATGGGAAAGCTTGAATACATTGGTGCCTCACAGGGAAAAGTAATTGAGGCATAAAAATGAAGAATTTAGCATACTGTTAAAAAAACCTTTCTGAGCACTAGTAACTAAGTAACCTAAGTAACTGGAGGGTAGCATGTGCTCCCATTACGTTTATAAATTTACGTAAGGCATTATGTGACAGCATACCATATTAGCAAAGCAGATAAGTAACAGCTAACTTCAAGAAAATACTGGATCCCATTCATGTTCTTGTCAAGACATAATAAGCTCTAATTCTGAACAAAATAAGGATTATGGGATGTGTGGATAGGGAGAGTCACCACTTTGAGTCTATATAAAGCTAATAAAAAGCTGTAGTGTGAGACCATTAGGTTACAATGCACAGTGTATGCACTTCACAGAATCACAGAATGTGAGGGGCTGGAAGGGACCTCAAAAGATCATCTAGTCCAGCCCCCCTGCCAGAGCAGGATCACCTACAGGAGGTCACACAGGAACGTGTACAGATGGGTTTTGAATGTCTCCAGAGAAGGAGACTCCACAACCTCCCTGGGCAGCCTGTGCCAGTGCTCTATCACCCTCACAGTGAAAAAGTTTTTTCTAATATTTTTGTGGAACCTCCTATGTTCCAGCTTGTAGCCATTGCCCCTTGTCCTGTCATTGGACGACACTGAGAAGAGCCTGGCTCCATCCTCCTGACACTCCCCCTTGATGTATTTATAAACATTTATGAGATCGCCCCTCAGCCTCCTCTTCTCCAAGCTAAAGAAACTCAGCTCCTCCAGCCTTTCCTCATAAGGGAGATGTTCCACTCCCTCCATCATCTTTGCGGCTCTGCGCTGGACTCTCTCAAGCAGTCCCCTGTCTCTCTTGAGCTGAGGGGCCCAGAACTGGATACAATACTCCAGATGTGGCATGTCCCCTTTAAGATATGTCTTTGAAGTGTTTTATTTGCTCTTCCTTCCTTTCAGTTTTAGGTGAAGGACAGAATTCAAATTGTTTCTTTTGGAACAGTCCGTGAGAACAATATTTGTTTCTTGAAAAGATCCTTTCGAAAGCACAATAGAAGGCATCAGTTGTAGTGCAGCTGTGACTGTGAGCTATTCTTCTGGCTTTTCAGCTGAGAATCTCTCTGAAACAGTCCTATGACCCAGTACAGAGAGCAGGACTGCAGGTTCAGTTTTCCTCCATTAGTAGCTTTTGCAGTAGCTCTCCTGGCACTGAGCCAAAGGCAAAGAGACCTGACATCTGGTCAGGCAACATCAGGCATGAAGATTACAGTAACTTCACTTGTGTATATTGGACTCGCCTAGGAAGGATGACACGACCCTTCCCATCTTTCAAGTTTTCAAGAGCTGCCTTTAGTTTAGTATCAACCAATGGGAACAAGGTGATGGCGTTATGTGAACTCAAGAGCTGTCGTACTGGCAGAGTCAGTAGTGGTCACTGTGTAAGAACCAGCTCATCTGGAAGAGGTTCTAGAAGAGCACTGAGGGAAAAACTGCTTTGAACAGTTGCTAAATTCTATGCTGACCAGATTGATACGGTTTCAGGATGACAGAATTTTCTCCTGTCCCACTGAAACTTGAGGACTGGTACCAGTTTGTCTGCTCTTCTACCCAACTGATATATTAATAATATATTAATCCTTCAGACTGTAGACGTAGATGAAGATGGTGGTCTTGCCCATTTCTGAACGATCACTACTACGCAAAGAAGTCCGGGAGGAGTGTCTTTTTTTATTTCTTTAATGTGTAATGCAAAGGTGGTTCTGACCATGTGACATAACCTCACCACACACTGGCCTCTAAAACCTTCTGTGTTTCAGAACTGGCAGATGTCACCAGCAATATATGCTTACTGTGGATTTCCATTCCATTAGTGGAAGACCTAGATAGACCTTTTCTCACCCCAAAACCATCGGTGTCCAGGTTCCCATTCAAAAGAGCTAGAAACCCTGACCCTCAGCTGGATACCTTCCTTTTCAGCGTGGCTTTGAGTTGTGTGCTGTTCGTCCTGTCTTGTTTATTCCCAAAATGTTTGCTCAGCCAAATGAAACCAGACCATACTCCTCTTCATAGCTCCCTGCGGGTTGTGACAGGTTTGGCTGGTAGTTTGACCTGTGACAGATGTCCACACAGTTGTCGACAAGACCAACCACTGTTTTGCTTTATATTCCTGATGTCTTTTTAGGTCTAAAGTCCTCCTTAATAATCTGTGTCATCTTTCTTTATCTAAAATGGCAATTTGGTGTACAAAGAAAAATCTACAAGTGGACTTAAATGTTTATTCTCTGAACCTGAATTTACATTTGCTCTCTTGATTCAGCCTTTGGATTTTTAAGGTATTTGTACTGAGGTGGTTTAGATATAATAGCAGCATCTCTCAAAAGACGTGAGATCACAAAACTCTGTGATGTATAGAAAGCTGCTGTATCAGGGAAATAGTTACCAGCCTCTGCACAGATCTGTATCCAAAACATTATAAATAAGCAATGAATAAAAATGCTTTTAAAATGACAGCACAGCTTAACAGTCTTGATTGAATTATAGTTTTACTAACTACATTGAAGACAAAATATTAAGGTGTAAATGCAAAAATTCCATAATTTGAGTAATTTCAGAAGTATGATCAATGTTTTTCCCTTTTAAAATATTAAATGTGTGGTTTTGCATATTTTTTTTCTTTTTTTAAAAAGATCACTATTATAGACAGTAATTAGGTCAAATTCATCTTAAACCTATTTGTGCTAAAAGCAGTCAGGTTTACTCTATATGTCTTTTTTGGATCTTGATGTCTAAGAGGAAAAGCTGACTTCCAGAAATTTTTAGTAAATTATTTTCTATGTTATTTCAAGCACATGTGAAGTGATTCAAGTGCTGGAAGATGTATGCTTGGAAGAGCCCTTTGGAATATGTTAAAAATCCCCAAATGTCCACTAAACCAAGAGGCAAATAGAAACTTGTTTTGAAGTTATCAAATACTTCTCACTGTAGAGATTTTTTGAACTTTTTTCACCACTGTTATGTGTTGTATTCAAAGGAGATGTCCATCTGCAGTTCGATATGAACTGTAATTAAATTTGAGTACTTCTTTTCTGGTATGAAAATCACTTAAGTTCTCATTAGAGGAGCTGTTTATGTATTATATTAACTTTATTTTCATCAAGACTTTTGATTGTATAAACTGTACCATTTTGAGGAGTAATTTCAGAGTTTAAACATAAACTTACGTTCTAATAGTACACTGGTTGTTTTTAAATGTATGAGTTCAGAAGTAAATATGCACCACTAGAAGCAGAAGGAATGATGCTTGTTTAGACACAATCCTTCCTATACCAGATTCTTTTTAGAGAAGTCAATAATATGAGTTTAGAATTGAGCTCTCAGAGCCAAGCTTTTTTTTTTTCTTTTCCTTTCTCTCTTCTGATCTTTTCTAGCTAGTGCTAAACTAGAAATTCTCCCTTAAGTGTTGACTCTCTGGGGATAAAAAACTTT